GGAGCGGGTCGGACTGTCGCAATGAATTTTGGGTTTAACATTACCAGTCGTTTTCCTTACATGCACTGGCATCTTTGAAATGCGAATTATCAGTAACATTATGATTCGACAGGTTTTTTAGTGGGTTGCTGTCATCGGGTCCATAACATTAGAAACAATTAGCGTAAGCAAATTGAAAATCAAATTTGTTGTTGGAATTGGTTAAGATCAAGATTACTTACGCTGACTCGGGTTGGTTCTGGTGAATTGTAGCAGAATCTGGTCGTCATTTTGGGTAACAAGAATGTATCTGTTAGAGCAATCAACATAATTGTTGCTGATAATATTGTAATTGGAAAGTTAAGAGAAAAATTAATAATATTTTTTAACATTGTTAAGGTTCGAATGTTAGCAAGGCAAAACGGGGTTACTGGTTGGAGTTGGGGTTGAAAGTGAATCTGCTAATGATTGGTCTGTAATTGTAATTAAACCTTGCTTCGGGACAGATTAACTTGAAACTCATCAAACTCACTGGCAATATTAAATTATAAAGATTCGACTGCAAAAGTAAACACGCTTAATCACTTTGATTTACATTTTAATGCGTTTTCAGTAAAAGATGTTGTCTTTCAAGATCAATAGATGGTAATTAGCCGGCTAACTTTCGGTAACTGAAACCAAGCTGATGAAACAAATTAAGCTTTTTGTCTGTTTTTTGGGTGATTTGTGCTTTTTGGTAATCTATTTCAGGTGAATCTCAATTACTGTCAGTTCTCTGTATGAACTTTTGTTCAAATCGGGCAATATTAACCTTGTCTGATCATAACATTGACATGTTGACGAATTACTCCTTTTATTGTGATAAATCTTTGTTCTGGTTTAAATCAAAACTTAAACTTCTGATGTAACAATTCTTACCTTCAATGTTTCGATTTTTCGTCCCTAAATATTGAGAACTGAATGCTAGTTTTGTGCCATTTGCTGACAACTATTGACAGAATTAATTTTATTTTCATTTTTTTCAAAAAGACTACTCTGTTGAAGTTATAAACATAACCTTTTACACTTTTTATATTATTCATCTTATTAATAGATTGGTTAAAATATTAATAAATCATTGTCTGTCTCTTATTCAAAGTCTAAACTATTGTGCATTTTTTTCTGATAAACATTTGCCTAAATAACTATTTGAAACCTGGTGATAGTTCATTCAACAATCAAAGGCCATTCCCAATCAATATTTGCCATTCATTGCGTATAATAAATGTAACTGGTCTTATTTTAATTTAAGAGCAAACACATCTTTAAAAGTTCCTTTAGTTTTAGTTCCCAAGTTTTAATTGTTAGCATTAGTATTACTGTAAATTGAATCCAATACGAAGTAATTATTTCGCACCATGTCAGAAGAAGGAATTGGCCACCAATCAACGACAATTTCAAGTCCAACAAGCATCTTTAGTAAAGCGATTTTACAGAAAGACAGATTTTCGCAGTTTCTTTATCCTGTTTTAATACTCATATGTATGGTGAGATTTTTCATTACATCGTATTTGGTGTTATTTGACTCTTCATCACTTTATCTACTGAACAACAATTTAGTCAAATTTGAAAGCCTTTGGAATGCATTTTACATCGGTAACAACTGCTTGGTTCTTATTCACGCCTTTTATGCTCGAAAATTGTATACACAGTTCATGGAGACATTACATGAAATACTCGATAACAATTCGTTTGTGGCAAATGAGCACATAATTAAAAGTCAAAGTACAATATTGAAAATGTGTGCATTCATGTGCGTATATGAATTTACAGCTGAAATCATCAAGAGCGATCCGAAAACAATGCTAAATGATTTTACAAATTCAAACTATTTTAATATAATTTATCATGGAATATTGTTTCTTTCCATTTTCACCTGGGTTTCAATTGTTCATTTTATAATTGAATCTTGCATGCATCTACAATCTGTATTCATTGTTATCGATAAATACTTGGAATATTATCAGACCAATTTGCATATCATTGGAAGTAATCATCACGTTCTAATGTCCATTCGTTCGGTTTACATGAAAGCAATAATAGCTACTCGCCAACTCGATAAATTCAACAGATATCTCATATTTGGTTTCTATGTTTATTACACTGGATATTGTTTGACGCTTTTTGGTCGATTCTTTTATGTGGCCAATGGCTCAACTGCCGGTAACTTTATAAGGTTCATTGGTGAATCAGCTTACGTTGCTGTAGTGACTTACTATCTGGTTCGTATTAATAAACTGTCAATCTCTGTCTATGATAGAGTCTATTCATTCACATTGATGAAAAACAAAACCAATGAGTTCATTCATGAGGTATGTTTTATCAATTTTTTAACTGAATTATAAACTTTTTTTTGAAAACGTATTAATATTAAATATTACTTTTTCGTACAGGTTAAATTTTTCTTGATGCGAATAAATCAACATGATGTTGGCTTCACTTTTGGTGGATTGTGTATTATAACAACCAACTTTGTGTCAACCATTCTAACTATTGCATTGACTTTAGGTTTAGGTTTACCTAGTCTTTTTCCTTAAATGCACTGACATCTTTGAAATGCAAATTCATGATGACAGAATTAGCATTAACATTGTGATTCGACAGACTTTATATTTGGTTGCTTTCTTCAGGTCCATAACATTAGAAACAATTAGCGTGAGCAAATTGAAAATTAAATTTGTCGTTGGAATGGGTTGCAATTAAGATGTCTTACGCTTACTCGGGTTGGTTCTGGTGAGTTGTAGCAGAATCTGGGTGTCATTTTGGGTAACAAGAATGTATCTGTTAGAGCAATCAACATAATTGTTGCTGATAATATTGTAATTGGAAAGTTAAGAGAAAAATTAATAAATTTTTTTAACATTGTTAAGGTTCGAATTTTATTCAACGGCAAAACGGTGTTACTGGTTGAGGTTTGGGTTGAAAGTGAATTTGCGACTGGTTGGTCTGTAATTGTGATTTAACCTTGCTTCGGCGATCTTACAGAATATTATTGTAAATCAGTCCAAATTGTTGTAATTAAACACTTTGATGTTTCAAAATTGTTATTAGTACGAAATTTTATTGAAACGCAAAACAGTGTTACTGGTTGAAGTTTGGGTTGAAAGTGATTGGTCTGTAATTGTGGTTAAACCTTGTTTCGGGACAAATTAACTTAAAACTCATCGGACTCACTGGCAATATTAAATTATAAAGATTAAACTGCAAAAGTAAACACGCTTAATTACTTTTATTTACATTTTAACGCGTTTTCAGTAAAAGATGTTGTCTTCCAAGATCAATAGATGGTAATTAGCCGGCTAACATCAGGTAACTGAAACCAAGCTGATGAAACAAATTATACTTTTCGTCTGTTTTTCTGTGTGATTTGTGCTTATTGGTAATCAATTTCAGGTGAATCTTAATTCTCAGTTCTCTGTATGAACTTTTGTTCAAATAGGACAATATTAACCTTTTCTGATCATAACATTGACATGTTGACGAATTACTCCTTTTATTGTGATAAATCTTTCTTCTGGTTTAAATCAAAACTTAAACTTCTGATGCAACAATTCTTACCTTCAATGTTTCGATTTTTCGTCCCTAAATATTGAGAACTGAATGCTATTTTTGTGCCATTCTCTGACAACTATTGACAGAATTAATTTTATTTTCATTTTTTTCAAAAAGACTACTCTGTTATGAACGTAACCTTTTACACTTTTTATTATTTATATTATAGTTAAAATATTAATAAATCATTGTCTGTCTCTTATTCAAAGTCTAAACTATTGTGCATTTTTTTCTGATAAACATTTGCCTAAAGAACTATTTGAAACCTGGTGATAGTTCATTCAACAATCAAAGGCCATTCCCAATCAATATTTGCCATTCATTGCGTATAATAAATGTAACTGGTCTTATTTTAATTTAAGAGCAAACACATCTTTAAAAGTTCCTTTAGTTTTAGTTCCCAAGTTTTAATTGTTAGCATTAGTATTACTGTAAATTGAATCCAATACGAAGTAATTATTTCGCACCATGTCAGAAGAAGGAATTGGCCACCAATCAACGACAATTTCAAGTCCAACAAGCATCTTTAGTAAAGCGATTTTACAGAAAGACAGATTTTCGCAGTTTCTTTATCCTGTTTTAATACTCATATGTATGGTGAGATTTTTCATTACATCGTATATGGTGTTATTTGACTCTGCATCACTTTATTTACTCAACAACAATTTAGTCAAATTTGAAAGCCTTTGGAATGCATTTACATTGGATACAACTGCTTGGTTCTTATTCACGCCTTTTATGCTCGAAAATTGTATACACAGTTCATGGAGACATTACATGAAATACTCGATTACAATGAGTTTGTGGCAAATGAGCACATAATTAAAAGTCAAAGTACAATGTTGAAAATGTGTGCATTCATTTGCGTATATGAATTTACAGCTGAAATCATCAAGAGCGGTCCAAAAAAAATGCTGGATGATTTTGCAACTTTAAACTATTTCAATATAATTTATCATGGAATAATGTTTCTTTCAATTTTCTATTGGATTTCAACTGTTCATTTTATAATTGAATCTTGCATGTATCTACAATCTGTATTTATTGTTATTGATAAATATTTGGAATATTATCAATCCAATTTGCATATCATTGGAAGTAATCATAACGTTCTAATGTCCATTCGTTCGGTTTACATGAAAGCAATAATAGCTACTCGCCAACTCGATAAATTCAACAGATATCTCATATTTGGTTTCTATGTTTATTACACTGGATATTGTTTGACGCTTTTTGGTCGCTTCTTTTATGTAGCGAATGGTTTAACTGCCGGTAACTTTATAAGGTTCATTGGTGAATCAGCTTACGTTGCTGTAGTGACTTATTATCTGGTCCGTATTAACAAACTGTCAATCTCTGTCTATGACAAAGTCTATTCATTCACATTGATGAAAAATAAAACTAATGAGTTCATTCATGAGGTATGTTTCATCATTTTTTATTAGTCTATCGGGTATAAGGATATTTTGGAGTTTTTGCTTAATTCTGGCTCTATCCTCGTACAGGTTAACTTTTTCTTGATGCGAATAAATCAACATGACGTTGGCTTCACTTTTGGTGGATTATGTATTATAACAACCAACTTTGTGTCAACCATTCTCACAATTGCATTGACTTTAGGTTTAGGTTTACCAAGTCTTTTCACTCAAATGGACCATCTTTGAAATGCAAATTCATGTTGACAGAATTATCATTATCACTTTGATTTTGACACACTTTATATTTGGTTGCTTTCATCAGGTCCATAATTATTACATACTTAATTATCACAGAAAAACAAGAGTACTTTATTGCCAAGTATATCATTGCAGAACGGCAAAAATGTAATTAACATTTTAACGATGTGGAGTCACTGAAGGGTTTTACAATTTGTCTTTGTTGTGACCAAATATCAAGAAAAGGCTCACTCGGTTTAATTACTACTGAGTTGTTTTTGTTGTGTTAACGAATAAAAGTAATCCATTTTTCAATTTAACGAAGATCAATGAATACAGTTGCATCAAATAGGAAGTAATTACATAAAACACAATGACTTCGTGATTAGAAACAATTAGCGTTGATTTACATTTTAATGCGTTTTCAGTAAAAGATGTTGTCTTTCAAGATCAATAGATGGCAGTTTAGCCGGCTAACTTCAAGTTTAACTTTAACCAGCTGGTAAACAAATTATGCTTTTCGTCTGTTTTTTGTGTGATTTGTGCTTATTGTGTTTTTAGTTTGTGCCTTTATTTTCAAAATGACTGAGCCGCAGTTTTGTCTTAAATGGAATAATTTCCATACTAACTTAAGTGATGTATTTCATAACATGCTTCTTAATGAAAGTATGGTAGATGTTACTATTGCATGTGAAGGAGCCAGTCTGAAAGCTCATAAAATG